TTATAATTTGCAGTTAATTAAAATTAAAATATAAGCATGTCTATTGTATCTCAAATACATGTGATATCATATTATTGTTTTTGTTAATTAGCAGAAAATGATTGTAATCTATTTATTATATTTATAAATATTAACTACTTAGATATATATTTGCTAAAACACGAAGTTGAATATACAAAATGCAATTTAACCCAGTGGCGTAACAATAGGGTGGCAGGGCTGACAGAATGCCACGGGCCCCCGACACGAAAGGGCCCCGGCTCAAAGGCCTCAATCAGAATTTTTTTTTGATTGTAGGTGTGTATTTTTTTTATTGATAGATAATTTGCGAGATCCCAAAATTTATAACTTTTTAAAGACTACAGCAGAATATACTTAAAAATGTCAATGTTTAATGAATCCATATTATGGCGTAACAATATGTTTTATTTTATTTTGGCAGTAGATAAGCTGATGAGAATGATAAAACATTTTGGTTCAGAAACATACAGGAAAACTCTATACATATAAACGGACAGAAACAAACATATAAACGGACAAAATGAAAAAAAAAGGTTTTCGTTTATAATGCACTTATGAAGACCCGTCATATCAATATTTCTGAAATATCTCTCATGCACAGTTATATATATATATATATTATAACATAGTAAGATAGCAGTTTACCATAAGACTGGTCGGATGTGTGTGTGTACAGATATCAAATATATTTTGAGTATCTATTCATTCGACTGACTCGTTCTTGCCATCTATGTTTTTAATGTTTAGGACAAAGTAAACTGTTGGTTAATTTCAGTTTGACGTCATATAAGAGAGTATAATTACTTACTGCTTATACCTATGCATCGTTATCTCGAAGTGTCTCAAATTTCAATTTCCAAGTAGGCGTCTCTCCTGTGATATTATTATATCTACATAATACGATAGAAATGGGGGGAAGGGATTGTTAGTTATGGAGACTGAGAATCCCATTACTAGCAATATATCCAACCAGGTCGACCTCCTCGCGGTTCTCCCTGGAAACTATCATGGTTAATTCCTGATGAATTCATCATGATGGGCTAACTGGCCTGTTTTCATTCTCATCGATCACCCTTCACTGGTGCTCCGCCAGCGTATTCCGTCAGCGCAAGCGGGGTTACCGTACCATTTTCACCCATTAAAAAAAAAACGATAGCAATAGACGCCTATCTTTTTGCGTTTAATAAAAAAAAATGCTTGACAAAATATTGTTTCTTTCGATTTTGATGTACGATAAAGAATTTTTTTAATGGTTGATAATGCAATGGTAACTCCACCTACGCTAATGGTATATGCTGGCGGGGGCACCTTTTAAGGATGATAGGTGACATGAGGATGCCACCTATCATCATCAATCATAGGTGAGGACCCATCATTCCCAAAGCAGGTCAATTAGCCCATCGTACCGAATTCCACAGAATTAACCACTATAATTTCCAGGGGGGAATTGCGTGGAAGTCAACCTGATAGTGTGAAGGGATTATTAGTAGTGCTGACTACCAGTCCCCATTGTTAGCAATATACTGTCAGGTCGACCTCAACGTAGTCCCCCCTGAAAACCATCGTGCTGAATTCAGAGTGAGCTGCCTTTTTATCCTCACCTATTATCCCTCACAGAAGCACCTGTATACCAGCGTATACATCCATAAAAAAAACCTGATAGGGTATATTGTTAGCGATAGAGGTGTTGGATTTCCATTACAAACAATCACTTCCCACTGGTTAAATCTATTAGAAAATTAGTTTATATTGGTCCTTAGAATAAAGATTAGAATAAGCTCGCCTTTGTGCATTTGATTACCTCTGTCTCATTCTTAAAACTAGTGTGTACAATAAAGAATTAAATAACATTAAATTCTGTTGCAATATAAAATTGACACTTTAAACTTTAAGATATTGAAATTTAGAGAAAAATCGATATCGTGCCTTAGAATCAATACCGGTATAACTGCAAATTTCAGTATATATTTTTAATGTGATGACATTGTAGCAACTTAAAAAAACATTTATTTGATAATTATTGATATTGTTATTGTTCTGAATCTATTATAATACTTGACGTATTGACCTTGAATTGTTTTCAAGAGATTTGCTGGTCTATTGACGTTTCTTTACCTTTCTTATCAATATGGGTTATCGTCTCGACCCGTAGGATCCCCGTACATATTTATACATTTGTCATAATTATAATGTGGTAATCAAGATATATTTTTCAAATTTACAAAAATAGAACTTCTTGTTTTATATAAAGTAAAACTGATCGGCCAGTCTGTTGAGTAAATGTTTAAATTCATGTTTGTAAACCGCGGAATTGCAAGAGGTGACCTCTGATTCATCGAATTGGGATTAAATAAAAATTATATAGTCTTGACAATTATATAGACATGGCGTGCTGAATAGTGAAAATTAAATAATTCAATTAAAAATTAAAAAAGTACAGTAACCTGACCTTCATGACACAAGATTTTTCTAGTATAGAGGCCAGAAACACTGTAAATTAATATGTAATGAATATGTATCTTGTAATTGCATATATATATTTTTGTTGTATAAATTATTATTATTAGTGATCGCGGTGAGATCCCGGCATAGAATATGCTATCCCTTTTTTTCCTGTGAGTGTCGTAAGGAGCGACTAAGGGAACTTAATGATTAAGAAATGCGCAGCGTCCCTCTTGAAATATCTCCAAAGTCTTACTGCGGTAGCCAACCCGCCTGCCAAGCGTGACAGCTACTGGCAAAACCCCCTAAAAGAAGGAGGCCTTTGGTCAGCAGTAGATAATTGAAGGCTGATACATACGGTACTGAATAGGCTGGAGCCTATTTTGACAGATTTACGGGGTGGTAAATAAAATATGTGGGCATCTTTTTTGCAAGGTTTTTCAATAATAATTAAGTTACAAAATCATTTATATAAAAATTGTAATTAATATAATTAATTGAACTAGAATACAGAATTATAGAAGTTGGTAGTGGCGGCAAAATTTGAATAACCTACTGGAGGCAAATGTGTAAATTCATTACTGGATAAATTGCTAAGAGGTAATACCATATTTCTATGGAACGAAATATCGTGACATGTTTTTTAAAGGGATGATAATTAAATAGCAACCCCGGCCGCGTTATCACTATACATTCGTGAGAAATTATAGGTAAGAATGAGATTTTTTTTTATATACAACTTAGAATGGCAAACAAGCTGATAGTCCACCTGATGGAAAGTGGTAACCGTCGCCTATAGACATGAGTAGTACCATGGACATAACAGAGTATACTGTTTCGCCCATGATACCCCCCATGCGTTGCCATTCCTGAGGACTCAGGTGTTATTCCTCTGTACCCTGTAAATTCACGCCATATCCCACTATTCAAACAGAAACACAGTCATGCAAACACAACTGCTTCACAGTAGAAATACGAGTGGGACAAAGGTACCCAAGCAATCGACTTTTGTACAGTCTCCCTCTGGTATGAAAGTCGTTGTGACAAATTCATTGGAAATTAACCAAGATGGTTTCTGGGGGGAATCGCATATAGATCGACCTGACGAGGTACATTACTATCAATGAAACTGTTAGACCCCATTAATAACAATCTCTTTCTCCCCTCGTGAAATTGTGAGATACAGATAACGAAGTATAGATAGAAATAGTAATAATTAAGAGCAATGCTTTGGGACCGGTTCTGAGACGCGGTTTTTCTAAATCTATCTTTAAAATATAAATTTATAAAATATAAATTGCAATTTCATATCAAATGAAATGATACCAATTGTAATTGAATCTTTATTCTAAAAACCAATATGAATTAATTACATTTTGAATAGACTTAGATAAAAAATATTGTGAATTTATGATGGTACATAAAACAGTAATATCGCTTTGTTTCCTTGTTACAATGTTATTACAGGATAGATACAAACACAATTAGTGACGACATATTTACTTTTAAGCACAATTAAAAAGTTGACATTTAAATTAGGCAGTCAAAGTAAGCAGTCGCTAACAACATCTATTTATCTATAACAAACATATAAGATACGTGTGAAGTACATAAACCAATCTATATAGAGAATAACAATTCATTGTTTTTTAGTAAAAAAAATCTCGTGAATATATCAAATTAAAATATTAAATTGACAGAAATGCGACTCAGAATCGAGTGAATTGTATGACTTATCAGAGACTGTAAAAATCTTAAAAAAACAAGTACCTATGTTGTTTCTTCATACAATTCTGAAATGTTTTAGGTAAAATATTTAGTAATTATGAAATAATAGTCCTGCTAAACAAAGGATAACGTTGTTAGGGTAGGCGTAAGACAAAACATCAGATGTTGCTAACTTTTTTTTTTCGTACGCGGTATTTGCAGGAATTGATGTATTCAAGATCATTTTCCACATGTCTTTGGGAAGTTTCGCTCGCATTCTGAGGTGGATACTAGATTCTTGGGTTGGTAAAGCTCACCTGGTTCTCCCTCTAAATACGGCCATGGCCATAGTAAGCCTGGAGCTGAACTAAGAAAGGAAGCTTATTCTAAGGCAAAATTTCTCTGAATCTGTCTCTAAAATTAAAACTTTAGTTCATTATTACAGTGAATATTTATTATTAAAATTAATATGAATTAATTTTCTTAAGTCAGAATAATGATAATTTTAGTTAATAATATAAAACAGTATTTTTACGAAACTATCAAATTAATGATATAAGGTTTAGAGAAATAGCACCCATGTATGGCAATATTCGATTTACTTATTAATTTCTAGTCAAGATTAAGGAATATATTTTCCTCTTAAATCTCTGCACACTTTATTGTTAGAATAGAGCATGAGCTGTGAAATTTCTGGATAAAGCTAACTTAATAACCTGTATTTATTACAAATAAATAAATTGACGATTGATTACATTTGTTTGCCATATATCTAAGGGTGCTGGTTTTACGTGGGCGAAAGATACAGTAAGAAATAAAAAGCGGTTAGATGGAGTTAGATTAGTTTATTATGGTTCACTTAGTGTGTGTGGTGGCGTGGTGCGCCTGCGCGGCCGCCTTTCTCATCTGCGCGAGCACGTTGCTCAGTTCTTCACGCTTCCTCTTGGCGCGGATGTGTGTGCCCAGTCGGCGCTTCAGGAATTTTAGGGCCCGCTTGTCTTTTGACACCTGGAAAAATAATACAGATTCCATAAGTTAAAATAGTTATGTAGTCTATTATTCTTCCTGCGTTATTTAGCAAAAAATATTGCTACATTTTTTTAACTCTTTGCGGTCCATTGTCTCCGCTACGGAGCCGTCAGTAATTTGTTCCGCAACTCCGCAGGCTCCGTTGCGGAGCCCAATGTTTTTATAATGAATATACTTAAGATGTTACGAAATTGTTGGCGATGGCAATTGTTATCTGTTGTTAAAACGTTCTCAGTCTCTTTACTGTTACGATTAAATAATTTTTTTACCCATTTTGCTGTTAGCAGTATGGAGAAAAATAATTATTGTGATGAGAATATAGATTTGAGTGATATTGAAGATGTGTTGGATTTTCCGATGTTAGAAGATATTGTGGAAGACAATATTGATTATAATTCTGACACTTCAAGTATTGATTCCGAAATTATACTACCAAAGAGACGACGAATGATAGTTATTGAAAGTGAAAGTGAAGAATCGCGGGAAGAATTAGTTGACACTTGCCCAAGTAAACCGAGAATGCACGTGGGAGATTGTTTCGAAAGGTATCACACCATGGTGAATTATAAAATTTAAAATTTATCTCTCATTGACAAGAAGAAACTGCAAATGTATATAATAAATAAAATCTCAAACATTTACAAGCACATGTAATTTTTCTCACTTAAAATAAGAATCCTTCTTTTCGCTCATTTCGCTGCGAAAATGGGCCGGAGTTGTTGGTAGGCAGAGGAACAAAACATGCGGAGTGTCAAGGGTTAATAATAGCAAAATACAATTACTTAAGTCTTTCAAATTATTATGTAAGAATGATCTCTGATAGATTATGCCGAGGTATTTGGTCTGGAATTTGGAATCTTGAATCCTGTACTGTAAATGTACCCACATTCTAAATAATAAATTTACATTAAAACTAATTACAATCAAACAGTAACATTTATTTAGTAAGGGGCCAATATATTCTTATAAGTCATGTTGTTTAATTTCTAAACAGTTTTATATATTCAGTTAATATTACAATTTACAACATCTTATTAAATGTTACAATTTATACTATATCTATTTAATTGGTATCATTTTCAAGTATAACACTTTTTTGTTAGAGAAAATAGTTTTTATTTCTGTATATCAATGTAAGTCAATCCAAAATCTTACTATTACTATAAATATAAAACTGCAAGGATAAATGTGCAAAAATTACTAAATGAATTTGAATGAAATTTGATATACAGATAAGTTGAAATTTATATACTGATTCATGCAGGCAAAGCCGGAGGATACAGCTAGTTATTAACATACATACCTTAAGCAATTCCATAGCCCTCTTTTCATATTGAGCATGGCCAACTACCTCTCGTACCAGATCACGGACAAACTTGGAGTGTTTTGTTTGCAACTGAAAAATATTTTAAAGAAATATATAGTAAATGAAAAAATTATTGAAAATACTAAACATATTTGTCTATACAAATTACTATTAGTTAAAAGTGGTAGCTTGCAAAATATTTCATATAACCATAGTAGAAATTATAATAAATACTTGAAGTAGTAAAGTTTTAAGGTATGGTAGACTATGTATTGCATATTTAAGTATATCTAATACAGATTAATGAGTATCTTTATGAATAAACAATTGTATTGAATTTTCTCCCTTATTTATAAGTCAACCCTCTCATGAATCTATTTTAGCTATTGAACTGTTTTGTCTCTTTCTTCTACAACAAATTCCCAATTTGAAAGAACATGACAAAACAGTGTTTAAGTTGTTAAGAGGTTTTAATTTATATGAAGAGGGTTTATCTATATAAATATAACAATTAATTATTTTGATCAGTTAGTGCTCTTACAAAATAGAATGTAAACGTATGAAGACAATCCGTTTATATTAACCAGGTTCAGGACTTATTATGTATATAAACATAACCTAGTAAGTTTCATTAAGAATAATAAATACTTACACCCTTTAGTCTGGCCGGTCTGATTTTTATCGCTTTGTCTGTAATACCTTTTCTGCCGGCAGATATTTTGGTTGTTTTGTGGCCTTTTCGCAGACCGACTGCAATTTCAAATCGCGGAGCCATGCTGTAAAAATAAACACCTTAACTTTATATAAGAAAATAATAGCACTACCGGAAAGCTTACTGATATTGTAGAGTAAAATAAATATTATATACTAAAATACACTAAAGATCTCATAGATTTTAATAAATTTGATTATGAAGAAAATATCACCTACTTTTCGGATTGACAGATCCGACGAAAGAAATTTTTTTAAACTTTTTTTTATTTATTAGGCTTTAGATAGGAAATGTCAAATAAATGTCATGTGTACAAAATAACAGTTAAGTACCCGTACACGGTTAAACTATAAAGTAAAATATGTAAAATAAACATCCTTAACACGGAAATAATTATGTCTGTGGTCTTAAAGGCACACTAAACAATTACCTACCAATTAGCAATCATTGTATGGTTATATTTTATATATATGTGGCGTATTACTGGCCATCACAATCCGCCTTTTATATAACTGGCCATCATATTCTGTCTGTCATATTTTTATATTTCTATTGTTCTTATGTTTTTACAATTCTGTCATTATTAGTCTTTTTTTCCAACTGATGAAGACGTGATAAATACACTTTTTGTAAATATGAAGTTTATCTTTATATAAATTCAAATGCGATTAGATTCTTAATCTGTGCTTTTTTGACATTGTAAATAGAATTGCAATTGAAATCTTTTGATGTTATGACACAATTTGACAATTTGACAGGCAGAAGACCACAGAGTAAGACAATAACTTTAATCTATAAAATTCGATCCTTTAATTTGCTAAATTTCATTTTGAATTTATGCGAACATATTTTTGTATTTTTTATTATGCAGTGAATTAATTATCTTGTACGTAAATTAGTTACAAGAATACACAAAAAAAGTCGCCAGTACTCGTTATATTTAGTAGTTTATATCAATTTATGATGAAAAAGAAAATGTCTAAAACCATAACATAACCTAAATAAAATTGGGATTTAATTTGAACATTCAAAAAATGGAAGTCGGTGCAGTTAAACAAGCCTTTAATAATGAGGTACTACATATCTCTTATATTGTTTTATTATATTGTTTTTATTAGAAAAGCTTTTTTGTTACTGAGCTTTTGTATGCACATGTCTAAATAGTTGTAGACGTTCGACGATAATAAAAAAAAAAATGAAATACTAGGCTGCACATATTAACAAATGGGACTCTCAATATATGATCACTTGCTTATTTATTGACAACAAATGTTAACAACTACTCCAATAAATTAAAATATAGCATTCAATTTTTTTTTCGGTTTCTACAAATTTTCTATTATTTATATTTATACTACTTTTATAATTTAATGTTTATTCTTTATTTGCACACAGCAAACTATTATTATTATAAAATAAAAGTAGAAAAGAATATAATTAATATTTCAGATAAGACTAAGCACTATAGTTACAGATTTATAGTTTAGTAAGAGAGAAGTATGGTAACAGTATGATAAATATTTGACTAACAGGATAAACTATCAGTCTTGGTATACCACTAAAGATATAATGATGATTGGACTAGTATATATATAAACTATAATCTAAATTATACCTTAGTTATACTGTTATATCTTTTAAAAAGACTACATGTATAGTTTGCAACTAAATAAAATGTTGTTTTTTTAATATAAGATAGGAATAAATGTGTATAATAATAATATATTATTTTGTGCTATTATAAAATTTACAGGTAATTTTATTGAAGAAGAAGTTAAATCAAGCTAGAATACAAATTATACACAAACTAACGAGAAAAGCAAAAACATTTACTGAGAAAAAAGCTCCTGAAAAACAGAAAGAAAAATTAAAGAGGAAAGCAGAGTCTGCTGTTAAAGAAGTTTTGATATTAAAGGTATTATATATTATAATAATAGTATTTTTTTTAATGGGTAAAAATGAAATGGTAAAAATGAATTGGTGAACAACAATAGCATGGACAGGCATGCTATTGTTGTTCACCAACAGGCACCAGTGAAAGATGATAGGTGAGAACGAATGCAGGTCAGTTGGCCCACCATGATGAATTTGACAAGAATTAATCATGATGGTTTCCAGGAGGAACTGCATGGAGGTCGACTTGAGAGGGTATATTGCTAGTAATGGGGCTATTAGACCCCATTACTAACAATACCTTCGCCTGCTAATAATAGTATTGAGATATATAATAACAAAATTCTCTGTATTTCCAAATGAGAAATGATGATATATACAAAAAACAATATAACCAACAGCTTAAATGTAATGTAATACAACCACATTAATATTGATAATACTCTCAGCTAGTCATAAACACATGCTTGATTGCTTTTGGTGAAATAATATTTCTCTAAAATAAAACAATATTATTTATTGTATTTTATTTACTTTTTCAGAAAATAAAACCAAAAGATTTAGCAAAGTTTATTATAACACATACAGGAAATTTAAATGATTATTTGAATAAGCCAAATGTAGACCAAGATAAAGCATGTGCAAGACTATTGTTACATAAATCATTGCAGGATAAATACAAATTTATCCGAGGTAGATTCGCTGGCATTCCTATAGCAGATTTGTTTATGTCTCGACAAGAGAGGAAAAAGCTTAAAAAAGAAGCTAAAGATAAAAATAAAAAGAAGAAGGGCATAGAAAATGAAAAAATTGTAAATTCAGAAGGGAATTGGGAAGTAGAGGATGTTGAAATGGATAATGATAGCAAAGAATTAGATGAAAATGCAACATCTGATGAAATGGGATTATCTGATGAAGACGAGTCTAATGAAGAAGTTGCTTCTGACAATCAAAGTAGTTTGTCTAATGAAGAGAACTTAACCTTAAATAATGATTTAGAAAATGAAGTTTTTGATGCTCAGAAAAATGTAAAAAAACAAATAAAGACGAGAGGAGGAAAAACAGGTAAAGAGAGTAATGAAGATTCAGATAAGGATAATGATGAATTACCTGCTAGTATTGGGAAATTTGTAAGATTTATACCTGATAAAGTCAAGAGTGATAATGACATTGATGATCTTTCCTGTAATAATAGTAAGAGTAATATTGAAAAGGCCAATAAGACAGCTTTAAAGAACAGTAAAAATACAGAGAAAAAAGGGAAAGATAGTAACAAAAATAAGAATTTTAATGAAAAGATTTTATTAAGGAAATTTAAAAGAGATGAAGATGAAATTCCCACAGCTGGAAAAAAGGTAGTAGATCCATTTTTCATTACAGCCACAGGAGAAAATTATATGTCAGTTGCAGAGCCTAGACAACCCGATGAAATTAAGGAAATCCACAAACAAGGCAATAGAAAGCTAAGAAGAGCTGCCATGTTTGGTCATGTTCCTAAAATCAAACCTGGACAAAACCATTTTAGAAATAACAATAGTTACAGTAATGGAGATAAATTTGATAGTAAATTGAATTATAGAAATAAGTTTAATAATCAGTCTGATAACTATGAGAATAAAGTATCAAAAAATGCATATAATAAGTCAGATTCTAATGATAGTAAAAAAACTAGATTTGATAAGTTTAGTGATAGGAAATCTGAACAAAATGAGGATAAACAAGAAAAATTACACCCATCTTGGGAAGCTAAGAAACGCCAGTCAGGTATTTTGCCATTTCAAGGTAAAAAGATTGTTTTTGATGATGGGTAGTTAAATGGCAACTTTGTTATATTGGTTAATTATTAAATTATATGACATTTAAAAAATGATAAATACTGTTTATTTTTAGTACATGAAATCCTTTAATCTGCTTTTCTATGTTTGACATAATTAGTGATAATCTTAATTTGTACTTTTTTCTTTTATAAAATTTTATCATTTAAAATATAATACATGAAAACTTGTTTCTTTTGACCATAAAATGGGTTACTGATGGAAAGTGGTATCATCGCCTATAGACATGAGCAGTACCATGGACATAACAGAGTATACTGTTTCGCCCATTATACCCCCCATGTGTAATCCTTACCAGAGGGAGACTTTGTGCAAAAGTTGTTTGCCTGGGCACCTCTATCCGATTTGTGTTTCTACCATGAAGCTGTTGTGTTTGCATGGCTGTGTTTCGGTTTGAAGGGTGGGATATGGCAGTGAATTTACAGGGTACAGAGGAATAACACCTGAGTCCTCAGGAATGGCAACGCATGGGGGTATCATGGGCGAAACAGTATATTGTGTTATGTCCATGGTACTGCTCATGTCTATAGGCGACGGTTACCAATTTCCATCAGGTGGGCCTTCAGCTTGTTTGCCATTCTAAGTTGCATAAAAAAAAAATAATCAAATATGAAAGTGAGTTTGTGTGTTTATTACCACTTATCAACTTAACCTCGGTTAAGCTATGAAATTTGGTATACACATGTGAGATGGAGAAGCATATAGGCTAAATTTGTATAAGTCGTTGGTAAAAGCTTGTATTTCATTATTATATAGTGGTTTTTTATGCAACTTAGAATGGTTAATATGCTGGCGGCCCATTTGATGGGAAGTGGCAACTATCATCTATAGAGGTGAACAGTATCATGGACAAAATAGAGTATACTCTGTCGGCTGTCATCTGTTAATATTCATTATCATATCCTATCTTTCAAATTAAAAGACAGCCATGCAAATAACTACTTCACGGCAGAAACGAATGGGACATACAGACAGAGGTACCCAAGCAGACGAATTTACAAATTGTACAAAGCTTCCCTTTGGTATAATTAAAATTCTTTTTACTTATTTGTTATTTTATTCACATTTCATTCATCACCATCAGACAACAGTGTCTGAGATGATGATGATGACGTGATTATAATGAATATGAAGATATGCCAAAATTGTTTGTTCTATTGTTTGATTACTTGGCTCAACCTATAGAATAGTAAAAAATATTAAGGGACTTCTTTTATATTAATTCAATCACATTTTGAGATTGTTTTCATGTTAAATCAATGTGAAAATTTATGAAGATGTTTAGATATTTCAATATTTGTAAAACTTAAACAACTGAAAAGATTTGCATGAAATTTAGAACATGGATTGCCTAGTGATTGCGGCATAGAATGTGCAACCCTTTTCTTTCCGTGGGTGTCGTAAGAGGCGACTAAGGAAACTTAATTGTTAATGGATGGGCAGGAGCGTCCTTAAACCGTTACCAAAGCCTAACTACGGTTACCAATCCGCCTGCCAAGCGTGGCAATTGTTGGCAAAACTTTTATGGAGGAGGCCTATGTTTAACAGTTGACAATTATTGGCTGATATGGTATGGTATGGATAGATATATTTTGAACTGAATTTGATAATCTTTTTGCGATCAATAGTGGATTAGTTCCATATTGGTCCCATATTTATTTAGTAGTTTGCTTTTTCTTTGCGGAGCAAAAAACTACTAAATTTTGGTAGTTATTTAACTTCTGAATAGTAGAATAAAAACAGGCGCGACATTCAAACGCCGAATCTGGCCGGGGTGTTCATTTGATAAGAGTTAAACAGCGCTTAATATTAAACCTTCAAAAAGAAGGAGGTACTCAATTCGTATGTATTTTTCTTTATATTCGTTACCTCATGACTCCGTCAGACAAACCGATTTGGAAAATTTTTTTTATCTGCTTATAGATTGGTCCCATAGAAATTTCATCAAAAACGGTCTAGTACTTTAGATTTTAAATCAAAATGGTGTTGTCACAATTGAAGTGTCTTTAATAATTTTTAATACAACATTACTTCTGTTATATTCCATTATATTAACTGTTGTCTCAAGCATCCATCATAGCATACAAGTTCCGTATGCATATTTGTAAAATGTCTACGTCCACGGGCCACACTTCTGTTCTCGTGACATTCGCAATTTAGCCGGGGGACGGCAATAAATCGCTGCGCACGTGAGGAATGCTTCATTACGACTCGCCATAGTGCAATGGTGCGATAACGTTGCAATGCGGTTGAATTGTAATCCAGATCGTGAGATAAGGGCCGTTACTGAATACTTGCTGTTGATATTGCAATCTGCAGCCAAGCAATTTGTGTGTATCGCCTTCTAGAAGTGTTTGTGACCGCGGCAAATTAGTTATAGGGTTGCCAACGTCGTGACTTAGGGGGAAAGGATTGTTAGTAATGGAGACTGAGAATTTTCCGTAATTTATCGACCTCCTCGCGGTTCTTGGAAATTGTCATGTTAATTCCTGATGAATTCATCAATGGCCTGTTTTCATTCTCATCTATCACCCTTCATTTTCGTATCCCGTTAGCGCAGGCGGAAACATTTTCACCCATCAAAAAAAAAAAATATATCGTAATTTATTTCTTATTTATTATGAATGAATAAATGGTTTATTTTCTTTAAAAAAAAATGTAATGCTATTATATCGTTTAACGAATGAACTCGAATTCAGATATTGCTTTTTGAAGTAATTTAAAAATACACCACCTTTAAGCTTGATAAAAGTACATCTTTAGATATAACAAAAATCCATCAAAATCAGTTTACAATCAATAACATAATTCACAAAAATGGAATTAGACCTCTACTTTTTTGAAAATTGGCTTAACATGTTCTTCCGAAAGGACATATTAAGTTGTTGGTTTTCTTAAAAGGGTGGAAAGGACATGATATGCCTGCACTATCGGTATAGGTTGGCGGGGTGCCAGTGAGTGATGACGGATGAAGATGAATGGTCAGTTAGCTCATGCATTAAAGAATTAACCACGATAGTTTACAGGAGGAATTGTGTGGAAATCGACCTGACAGGGTATATTGCTAGCAATGGGCTATTAGACCCCATTGCTAACCTTTTGTTTGTTTTTTAACTCAGGTTTTTGTTTAATGCACGATAATGGAATGGTACCTCTGTTTGTGATATAGGTTTAAGTTAGTGGGGCACCAGTGACTGATGATGAAGTCAGGTGAGTTACGAATTAACCATACTGCTATAGTAGAGGTGATGATTTCAAATCAAAATTTTGTCATTTAAAATTTCATGGCGAAAGACTATGACGCTCTCTTGCTATTTACCAATCGATTTCTAATGTAAGACTAATTTTTATACGCCCTATAATGTATCGTTCCTAACCCACAGACACTAGGGGAGGAAAAGATTGTTAATAATGGGGAGGCTAGTTTCCATTGCTATCAATATATCTTTTTAGGTCGACCTCCACGCGGTTCCCCCTAGAAACCTAACCCCTAGAAAGTTTTTTTAAGTCTCTTAAAAAGATAGTAAAATCATATCAATCCCTACTAAAGATGAAAAGATCAACTACATTATAGCCGTCAAAGACTATAAATATTTTCTTTTATGCTAAAACAAACCTAATAAAACAAGAACCACAAACTTTGTTTCATATGGCTTGTATTAACACATACGGTCCGCAAAAAATGGACGAAACCGGAGTCAAAGGCCAAACGTTATTCTGACAAAAACAATTTGTAAGTTTTTGCAACGGAACCCTTAGGCCTTTTTGGTTGAATACATGAATATATTTACCGTTGAATAAAAATAGAAAATAAAAAGTAGGTTTCTCTTTTGTTCATTTAATGTTTTATTACTGGGCGAAAAGGGATTGTTAGTAATGGAGAATGAGAATCCCATTGCTAGCAATATACCTAACCAGGTAGACCTCCTCGCGGTTCTCCCTGGAAATTATCATGGTTAATTCCTGATGAATTCATCATGATGGGTTAACTGACCTGTTTTCATTCTCATCAATCACCCTTCACTGGTGCTCCGCCAGTGTATCCCGTTAGCGCAGGCGGGGTTACCATACCATTTTCACCCATAAAAAAAAAAAATGTTTTATCACTACTTTTCACTCAGTTCGTTGCAGCGAACTTGAGTAAGATCGTCTAAAGTTTTGATTTTATTTTTTTGAGGTTGGTACAGATACTTCTTATTGAGATTTCAGGACTTATACCTTATGTAGTAGATATCTTATGTTCGATGTTTATATACATATGCAATAGGATATTAATAAACTCACTGTGTAAATTTTTGTCGTTTTCGACAATTGTTTCCACTGCATCCGGAGGTCTTGTTTAGGGGGCGTTTGGCGCTTTGCGTCGCAGGGTCTTGTCTCCTATTAATTAATTTTCGGTTACATATGTACGTAAACATCGAATAAAAAATGAACATAAGTTTTAAAAATAAAGATATATTATTTTTTGCAATGCTTTGTATATTGCAAAATGTTTGTGTGGCAAATGCACCTATTTGAAAATTAGCTGTTGTACTTCTGATACGTTATCTGGTTACTAGCTAACTTGGTACCATTATCTATGGTTCATATTTTTTTAAATATAGTAGAAAAGAAAAGAAAGACTATGTACTACAGAATATCAAAAAAGACTTGATAAGTCGTCAACCGATTCGAAATAGAAGAGGAAAAAGTTATTGCGAAGCGTGAGAGAGTAGGTACAGGAAAAAGTATAAAATTCCCGTGGGTACCCGACTCCTGACAGTTATTTGCATTTAATACTTTCCCGGACCGGAATCGCGGAAAAACGTCACTCGCTGTAATGAACATGAACACTATTGCAAACTCTGCCTTTTGGCGGGACAGAGGTAAAATAGACTAGGAACTTTCATACGAATCTTTAGTTCTATTCTTTTTAATTTAAATTATATTTCGTTGTGATTTTTTTAGAAATTCAGATATTTTGTAGAGTATTTTTAAAAAGGTTTCATAAGAGCAAGATATTAACGTATTACCATACATAATGAAGCAATTTTTCTAAT